GAGTTACTCGATATCGGACGACACTATAGGTATCGTCTCGATAGAAACCGAGATTTTCGAGCCAGGCGATACCTATCGTCAGGAAGTGTTCTGTGTCTATCGTCTGCAGAAGGTAAACACATGTATTGTGTAACTTGATTCAGATTTTTATAAAATAATGTAGTTCAAATAAAAGCTTTTTATCTTACGTGTAATATTTAAATATAATAGAAAACATATATTCAAATAAAATTAAACTTCACAAAATAAGATTATTTTGTTGCATTAGCATTTATGTTTTTATTTTAACTTTTTATGTTAGGGTTGATACTTATTACGAAGATAATAATTTTGTAGGGGAATCTGGCATTTTTTTTTCAATTTTTTACTTTCTTTCACATAAATCTTCCGTTTCGTTTTCTTTCTCTTTTAAAAAAATTGGCAAATAAATTTATTTGTATGAAAATTCCACACCTGTAATTTTGAACCAATCAAAATACGTTTTTGACAGATCACCATGGCAACGGAGGTATTTTAGTGGAAATTTTTTTCTCGTGGGGTACCCAACAGCGAATTATACTGGAAATTTTTTGACGTTTACAATAATAGACCATTTTTGACAGACTGGTTTTTATTTGTTCACATAATAGGTTTAGTTTTGATACATTTTAGTTACAATGCTAAGGTGTTTTCTATATTCTTCGGCCACTTCTTTTCTTCTTAATGGCGAAAATGCAGGACTTTGGATGCTTTGAATTATGTGTCTATGTCTAATAAAATATATATAATATTTAGACACTAATTTATTCACCTTTTTCCCATTCAGCACTTTGAATTTTGCGTAGTTTAGGCCGAGAATACCGATCAAGGAGAAGCGACAGTAGCTGTCGGTGCCTTTGATATCGGATGTACCTTTTTCACAGCATGACTTTGATTGATACACAACTTAGCACGCTGAGAAAACATGCTTATTTTCTACACTGAGCGAAATAGTTTGGCAAATTATCTGAAATTATTGTTATAGTCCATGCGCAAATGTTGCAATGTGATTTAATTACATTGAAGTAGTTAGGGTTAATAGCAATGGTGAAATTTCGGCACCAAAATATAATTTATTATGTAATAATTAATTATTTGTTATAAAAGTAAAAGACGTTTATTATTTTATAATTTATCTATAAAATGTGTTCAATATTTGGTTTATTTATTGTTAAAAATGTAATGAAAGCCCCATATTTAAATTAAATTACCTTTTCCTTAAGTAAAAATAAGGTAAATAAAATTAAGGGTGCCAAAAAAAATTAGGTAACAATTAAAAAGACATTAATGGCCGTTTGCACCGACAATTTCTTAAGAGTTAAGTAACCCTTAAATCATAAGTGACCCTTAAATGCGGAGGCGTTGCACCGAACGAATGATTCCTTAACTTTACTAATCCAGCAAACCCCGCGTAGAGGCTTAATTTTCTGGTGACTTATAGGGATTTTTTTTGTTGATTATCCTTATAACTTGACGATTCTAACCTAATATTTTTTGGTTCATGGTCTAAAGCGTGCTAGAAGTTTTGTTGATTTTCTACATATTTATATACTGTTTGATTTTGTCCGATAATTTCAAATATTTTTTTTTAAATAATTAAAAAAGGTTAATTTTTTTCAACGATGGCAACAAAGAAGTTGGTTAATTGGCGAAACACAATTGTCTCTAAAAATAAAAAAAAATCACTTCATATCGACTGGTTGTAAAACATAAACTTAGGTGCCTACCTATCATTAGGGTATTCCAGATCTACTTCTATTTGTTCCAACAGATGTAAAACTGTTTCTCTATAGAGTCTAAACCGTTTGAAAAATGAGATTATTTATTTCTTCAAAATAATTTGATCTCTCATAAAGGCGCCTAGGAAATCCGAAATTTATTAAATCTACAATATCTTGATAGTCGTTAAGTAATTGTAAATTAGCTGGATTCATATAAATTCTTTTCGCAAACACTATTTTCTAAAGAAATAATTAATAATGTAAATATAAATACCACCATTAGGTTGTTTCAATACTGGCAATGGGTGGAATCCTTCCACCCTCAACATCTCAACGAAACAAGTACTTCGTGTCAAATACTTACTAAAGAAGGTATAAAGCCTGCAAATTTGGCCGCTTTAGTAGGAAACCCTTAAGGTTGGAATAAGTGGTACTAAAACATCGGTGCAACGAGTTTCGTATACTTAAGTATTACTTAACTTTAAGCTTCCCTTAAAATTGTCGGTGCAAACGGCCATATAAGTTTGAGAGGTTTAACTAAATATTTGCAATGTGCATATATTTTCAAAGCTTTTAGGTTTAAAAAGTACTTACATATTTTTAGAATTTCTAGATTTATATTATATTAAAAGGACTTTCAAGTTTATTACTCATTTATATAGAAACAAATGTTTTCTCGCCAAGTTAAACGAGATGTCATTTAAGGTTTATGTATTTAGAGTTAAATACCTGGCCTGGCTATCACCCAGACAATACAAATATGTCCATTGGACGTCCATTCGATATACAATTTTGGATGTCTAGACGTCCAAAAATTAGTTTTCTGGACTTCCGACATCCAATGGACGTCCAGTAAAGTATACAAATGGCACACTTTTGACCATTCAGAGGACGTCCAATTCTGGAATATATTTGGACGTCGAATACTGGACATTCAAAAAACGTCCAGGATTACATTTCCATTGAGACCACATCCCCATTTTTTTTTTCAGAACCGCAACTCACCAAACACTATTTTATATTATTAATAATTTGTTTATTATTTTCGCAAACCGCTATACACCATTTATTTATTTTTTATTAAAAATTGCTTGACCTGAGCATGATTCGAACTCACGACACATCCATTATCGTTAAATAAATAAAACAGAAGTCTGGCAACGCCTAATTTTCTCAATAAATTTTTTAATACAAACTATTTTCAACTACAAACGTGACAATTAAAATATAACACCATTTTTAACATGATGATTACTTTATCAAGTGTTCAAAATATGCTCCATTTGTGAGTTGACAGCCCTAATCGATGATAGAATGCATCTACCACATTTCCCCATGATAGTTTTATTTATTTAAGACCTTCCAGACTACATAAAATCATAAGTGTTACATATGGTTGAACTCGTATTGAATAGGAGATTCCAATAATGACTCAATGTACATGGTGATGAATTTGAAAAACCAAAGTGACTAACAATATAAGAGAAACGGCAAATCTGGCAACATTGCAAATATCAAATCTGGAATCTCCGTATCCCAAAATAGGTGTACCTTAAATTTTGTACAATTAGAACTAGCGATTTACGAGATAATTGGCCGTTTCCAGACTTTTGGGCCACTCCGTATAGTACCTTTCTGTGTTTTGACAATTTTACGGCAAAAAAACCTACAACTTGAATTATTTTAAATTGTAAAGTCATGATGTTTAATTTTTTGTTATATTCCAGGATCTTCAGTTCCACATACTTAGCATACTAAAGAATTAAAGAGTTTGTAGCAGTCAATATTACAGGCAAACTACATTTTTTGACATACGCGAACAAGAACCCACTGTATCTAGATCATATTTTAAAGAATGGAATGAGAATGCTACTTATTGTGTTTCATCAACTCTCTGATTTGCACCGATAAATTAAAATAAACTAAAGGAAGTCATACTCATGGTACTGATAACATAAACAATAATAGAGACAACATCAAGTAGGACTTTCTTATTTTTGGGGAAACCTAGCTCTTTCGAAGTTAGTAATCATTTAAACTGAAATCCAGCCCAGAACATGAGTCATGTATCTCAAACAAGTTCAAAAATAAAGTGTGATATTGTCAGAAAAAAAAAAGAGTCGAAAAAAGAATGAAGCGGTGACCGTATTCGCACGATGACTTTCAAGTAACTATGACGTCATAGTTAACTACGGTTAGCGGTTTCAGGTAACCAACTCATAAAAAAGGCGATTTTAAATCAGATACTATGTCTTGAATATGATTGACTACACTGATATAAATCAAAAGCAATGACGTCATATTGAATATTGTCTTGAAATAGTTAAGTTTAACATGACTACAGTAAAAAGGTGGCCATCACAGGTATGAAATGTCAAATGAAATGACAAATGTAAAACTTTTACTTTTTAATTATTAAATCATTGTTTGGTTGTGTTATTTGTAAAATAGAAAGAAAGATTTACGAAAGGGAAAAGTGGGACAATGGTGACGATAGGGTATCAGGTTAAAAAAACAGGTATTTTTATAAAATAAGCTCCTTTTTTTGTAGAGATCTAAAAAAAGGTCCTCCGCCTATATTTATTTAAACCATCAGATTCCCTTTTCTGAGCTTCTCAAAAACAGGCCAAACATTGTCAAAAATATCATTATATATAACTTTGAATTTAAAAAACGTAGCGATAAGGTAAAATGCGGAGCTTTTTTGTACTTTGGCGTAACGCGTGCCAGCAAGTTAAAAAGCGGGACAATTACGCCTACAGCGCGACGTCTGGCAACCCTGGCTGAGTACCTAGATATGGACGCATTTAAGGTTTCTGCAAATGAAAAGCCAATTTATTTTCAAGGTAGGATTTATTAATGAACATGGCTAAAGTTTCGATAAAAAATCAGAGGCCAAAGTAACTATAATACCAATTTTCTCTTCATCCATGATCAGTAAACAAAACAAATATTTATTTTTTATCCCTACAAATTCAAAAACAAATCCTACTACTATTACATAACACACAAACAAAAATTCATGATACCTGCCAATGTTATACCCATTGTGAAGTTAGTGTCAATATAAACCAAACATTTTTAAATTAGATCATTAGAACGTCATTATAATGACGTAAGAACCTTGACCACACTTGTATCATTTAAGATGTTTTATGAGTTATGACATATGACATTACACTCTTGCCGCGCTTGTCTTTAGAAGTTAAATTTGAATTTGAAATTTGAATCATTTGCAAGGGAAAAATAACAAATATTGAAATGGAACATTTTGCGGTATTCGTTAATGATATTTTAGTCCATATTATAGAGCATGCATCTGTTGTCTTTAAATTAAATACTGGTGAGTTTGGGATCTATTTTGAAATTATTCTTTTACACATGTACACTTATTTTTGTAGATGACGACTATTTAATGAACTACGTTATTGAAGGCATAATTAACAAAAAAAGAGTATTTATGCATTTACCATGCGAAGATTTAGAAACTATTGATATCCGCAGATCATTATTGGATCAAAATGAGTTATTCAGAACCCCTAATGAAAGTAAAGACAACTTTACAGTATGGAAAAGTAAAGGGAAGAATTCTGAAGAAGATAAGCAAGCTGTAGAAATTCTTCTCGTAGAACGGTTAAGATTAGCTCATAAATTTGATGACAAAAAAACAGTAAAAATACAATTGTGGAAAGAAATTGCTCAAGAATTAGAAAAACATAAGTTCAATGTAACAGGCGAACAATGCAGGCAAAAATTTAGCAATATTCAAAAAAGCTATATAAATTATGTGCGACAAATAAATTCAACAGGTAGTGGAAAAATAGATCCACCAGAAAATTATGATTTAATTCATGCAATATTGGGCGGAAAAGATAAAATATTGCTGAATGATGTAATAGACACAATGGATGTCCTTTCTCCTACTAATTTAAATTCGGCTTCTTCTGCACAAGAGTTAGAAACTTATCCTTCAAGCTCAAACAGGGCTTCTTGCTCACAAGTGTTAGAACCCCCTTCAAGCTCAAATAGGGCTTCTTGCTCACAAGTGTTAGAACCCCCTTCAAGCTCAAATAGGGCTTCTTGCTCACAAGTAGTAGAAACCCCTTCAAGTTCGAAATGGACTTCTAATATGCCAAAAAATAATTTACAAAACCTGAAAGCAAAAAAAAAGTCAGTTAATACAGAAAAAATTACAAAAGCCAGTATTTTAGAGGAGATAAGAAGACAAACAAAAAAACAAGATGATTTTAATGAAAGAATAATGAAAGTACTTGAAAATCAAAGTGAGCAAAGAGAAAGGCTTATTAATCTTTTTGAAAAAATGGTAGATTCAGAAGAAACAAGAAAATACAGGAAGAGGAGTTATTCGTCTGATTCCGAGTGATTTAGATTAATTAGATCAATTAAAAAAAATGTGTTTTTATTTAGTAATAAGTAGGTAGATACGAATAATTTTTTTTGTTAACTTTTGGAAAACAAATTTAGTTTAATAAAGTAATTTTTAGGTACTGTTATATTTTCCTTAGACATTAAAATGATTTAAACGTGAAATAATGACAAATAAATTATTTTTTTTTATTTATTTGAAATTCAACACGAAATAATACAAAAAATACACAGAGAAACAGAAACTAGATGAATCATTTTCCAAATATGACTAACCAAATTGTTTTAAGTAACCCCACAGAATGCGCGAACGAGCTGGCCATTACACTATAGAAAAATGTTTGCATTTTTTTTACATTGTTGTCATTATTTCACTAATGTAAAAAGATATTCAACTTCTGTTTGAATTTCTAAAAGGTTAAAATAAAAAAGTTTGTCATCTTTTTCGGTCCATTTCAAAGAATAATTTAAATAAAAATCTAGAAAAAACTGGTATAGGTCAGATTTTTTGGGGTTTTAAGAAAATAATTTCCTATATTTTTATTAAACAGTATATAAGTAATCACATATTTGATTCCTTTTATTTTCGCCATGGATATTCTGGCATCATGTAATGAGCCAGGATAACCACATGATATATTTGTAAAAAGTAAATCATAAGTACATATGGCCTGCATAGCAATTGAATGTTGAAAATGTCTGTCTTGATAACTATCATGTTGATTTAATGGTACCTTTAATTTAAAATGTGTGCCATTAATCGCTCCTATGATACCAGGATAACCAGATACGTCTCTAAATTTTTGTTCAATTTGAATACATTCAATTAAACTTGGCCACTTTATGTATTTTTCTTTTAAAATTACCATAATATTTAAAATCAGAGTTATTGCCTCGTGAGTTGTTAAAGGTGCTACATTAAACCTGTCGCTAATCGAACAGAGAACTTCCCCTTTTGCTAAATACCATAAGGTTATCAAGATACATTTTTCAACTTCAAGCGGAATGTATCCTCCTCTATATGTAGGTTTGCAAAGGTGACCTATTTCATTACACAAATCGGCAAAAGTTGATTTGTTTAAACGAAAGTGTGTATAAAAATCTTGATCAAGATACAATTGAATCCAATGTTCAAAAAATAATGGTATTCGATAATGGTCATCTTCTATACACAAAATTGAAAAACAGTTAAATATGGAGTTATTTTGAGGCAATATGAATTCTATATTTTCAGAAAAAATATTGTCTAAGAGCATTGCCCCAATTTTCATAATTTTTCTTATCTTGTTTGGTGGCGGGACCATTTTAAATTTTAAATGAAATTCAAGCGTCGACAGTTTGACATCTATCTAGCGTAACCATGACGTCATCATATATACTATATAACCAGGTAACAGTTTGGTAAGCCTGTGGTAAGCTCGCGCAAAATTCATTTTTGTTGTAACGATGACATTATTGACTAATGACTAGTGCTCGATTGACAGGAAGACAAGACATTTTTATTTTAATATTTTTGTAAAATAGAGCATGGGAAGAAACGGTACATTAGTACATTTTTTCTAGATACCTTTATATCTCTTGAAAGAATATTTCAAAGAAGTTTTTCTTTTGAAAAGTGGTAATTAGTTTTTATTAGTTACAATGTTAATAATAAATAACTAGTCTACTGTTACAAAATAAGTTACAAAATCTTGATTTGTTTCAGATGATGCAAAGTGCAATAAAAATAATATCGAGGAATTGAAAAACAATCACGCACTGGAAGCAAAGTAGAAGACGAGAGTTTAACTTTTATTAGCAATTTATATTTCCTTTTTGAATGCATCTGCAATTAATCAACAAAGTTAAATATCAAATTAAAAATATTTACCGCATATGTGTCTGTCTACATATAACATTAATGACTAAATTTCTAAAAGTGATAGATTTATCGTATTTGTGTATTCGTTCTAATACATTGATTAGGAATTATTGCTAAAGTTATTAGTTTTACTTTTAGCCAACCTGTGTCATCAATTTGGTAATGTGAAATATAAATAATATTGAAGGATATGTACCTACATTATTATGTATTTCGTGACGTTTAGAATTCTATAACTGTACTGTATATTTGTCTATCGGAGGGTATATTTTTTAGTAACATATTATTTTAAATTAATCAATTGTGATAAGATATATAGTGTAAAACCCAATTTGTTTTCTTTATAAAATTATGGCTGGTTTGTACATGTATTTTATATTAAGTAGTGTTAAATCACCGGCTATTGACAGATTCAATCATTTGTATAAGTCTGGGACTGTTGGGCTTCGAATCCCAGACCGGACCATGTGGATTTTTAATTAAATTGCATGGTACGGTTTAGGATTTGATGTGTGGCGTATTAATAGAAATTCAATTTCTGTTGATATGACATGCAGATTAAAAAAATCGCCATGCATTACCGTCTCGATGATGGTGGGTGAGGTTTTGCGGGTTTTCCTCACCTGTAAGTCAAATGGCACCATCAATCATCTTTAAGTCGCCGCGGAGCGCCCCCGGCAAATAATAATAATAGCCGTCCCTTCCCCTACACAAGTCGTTCAGTCGACTTCAGGGGTTGAAATTCACTCGTAAGGTAGTGAATTAGGGAGAGTATTATTATTATTATTATTATTAGTATACTCTTGAATGAATAATATAAAAAATTTAGAGAAAATGACTATATTTTGTTTTTGAATATAGAAAAAATTGGGTCAAGATTTACTTGCAAAAGGAACAGTAGTAAGCATGTTGTTTTATTGAATCAAGATTAATTTCGCAAAATTTAAACAATTTTTAACACAGTATTGTTAAAAATATTGATATCTATAATATTGATGTCACATAAGATCTACTAGCATATTAAAAAGGCTTGTTAATAACTTAAATTTAATGTTACAGATATTGCATTGCAATATGTAACAAAAACAACTAGATATGTTAGTGGCGGTACACATTTTTTGACTTCCTTTGAACGGTAGTATAGGAAATTATGCATTTAATAAAAGGGTTTTACTAATAGCTCACTTTTCACGAATGTTTCAAGATATGGATCTAACATTTATTTCTAATAAATTGTGAATACCAAAAATACACATTCACTAATAAATAAAAGAGTAAACTAAAATTAATTATTCGCTAACACAGCGCAACAAATTAATTTGAATTCGCTACCTTCTCTTCCACAAAGAGACATAACAAATCTGTGAAATGTATATCCTTCCTACCAATCCATTCTTTCCATGTGGGTATAACATACATAACCTTATTTTAGGTTCCAGACGGGGCCTTCTTAGGTACTGTCTGAAATTGACGCGTAATTGACGTTTGTACTTGATATCACGTGACCACCGACTCACTCGATAGATAATAGTGTTGCGCTGGTTTTTGGTATCACAATTTATTTTTACTCAACTTTTACAATAACTGAATTCAACTGATACAATAACTCCAACTGATAACATTAACGTTTAACGTCTATCATTAAAACTAAACTTTAACGTCAGGTCGTCGACTTATGTAGCTTGCCTTGGCCTTCTAGAACCTTCTCGAACAATGTGGACTTTTCTTTGATAAGGAATGACATTTAGAGACATTTCTGGAATATTCCATCTTCTTCATTTACTCGTACCTTTACTTATGACGACCGCAGCATGCTACAGGGTGCTGCGTAACAATAAAATCAACTAATCTCGGAAAAAATGGCGTAAACTATAGGTATTGACTCAGCCTCATAGCAACCTGCAAGGCAAACGTCCGAAATTGACATTTGTAGTCGACATCACGTGACCTTTGACAACTACGCGATAGCTAAAATCTCACTGCTGGTCTTTTTTTATTGCTCAAAAAAAGATATGCTTATCTACGTGCCAGAAACTGGTTGGCCTTGAGTGGTTTCGAGCTGATAACTCAGTGAACGCAATTTTGGTCACGAAGACATTACAGCCGTCCTAACAAAACACCTGCGTACCGAGCACAGGACCGTCTCTAAATATAGTGTATTTTAAAACAGTGACAATTGTCAAATATACCCTAGTGCTCGGTGACAAGTCGTGTTTCTTCGTTGCCGTAAAGCGGTGGTACAACGAATTTTAACGTGGTCGACTTTCATTAAACAGTTTCCAAACTTCTAATCCAAAAACAGAAATTTGAGCAAAAAATATTGATCTTATTTGGAACCCTCACATTTCTCTCAGAAACATTCAAGAATCATAAAAGAACGGTGTGAACGTAATTAACAATATTTAACACAAATATTTAAAGTCCGTAAGCTTTGTTCTTGGTGGATTCTCCCACAAGACTTCAACTCGAACAGAAGACCGTATGAGATGGTACAGATCTACACTAGATCGCTTTAATCTTGGATAGTATAATTTGATTTACAACATCAGCACAGGTGATGAAAGAAGCGTGTACTGCTACGATTTCGTAATAAGGATACAATCGTCGTTTGGGTCTTTGAGAAAAAACCGAAAGAAAAGCATGTTTCCACTGTAGCACTGTGGGATAGACGTAGTTATTTCAGAACGGTACATTACAGTTTCTTTGCCCTAGGTTCTCCAAAAGGTTCGCATTAAGATAACGTTTGGGTTTACACTTCTGTTTGAACAAATGAGTATTTAAACATAGAAATAATGGGTCATTCACCATTATAGTCAAGACCTAGCACCTAATGACTTCTTCTTATTTACGCGGGTAAAAGATAAATTATCACATTTTACATCCGCCGAAGAAGCAATTGATGCTTTTAAAAATTAAATACACCAACTACGGAGGAGATTGAGGAAACTTTTTTTACGAATGGTATTTCGCGGATGTAAAATGCATTAACTACTGAGGAAAGTACTTTAAAAAATTAAAAATAAATGTTTCTCGGAGGCGTTGATAACCAACCCTTCCCTTAACGCCTCTGTTCAGATCTGGGAATAGAGTTAAAAAGATCTATACATTTTTAAGGAACTGAAGATAGGACATTGTCG